GGTGCACTGGGTTATCATTCAAGGTTCGTAACCCACTCAATCACAGCCATGGTCAGAGGGGCTTGAGAGGAAAAACTGCTAATGAGTCAGCCACACCAAGGTTTGCAGATCCACTGGCACTCAGGTATAACAATGGCACACTTCTTAAAAATGCTTGGGGTGGAGCAGAGGGAATATCAAACAAATGCTGGGTTCTCTCCTTGCACAGAACCTGTAAGTAGCCCTAATTGACATTGTTCCATAAATTAGATTTCTTCTAATGAATTCCTAATCTACAAGAATACTATTCTGAATGATCATTGTAAACTAAGCATTTACTTAAGAGATTTAAAGAGATTTAAATACATTAACCATAAATTCCACAATAATCCTATGAGAGGTTCTGTAGTTCACTCTTTTCCACAGAGGAGGGCAGCCTAAGAAAGACTGTCTTGATCTACTGAGATAATTTTGTTATTTTGCTCAAAAGAGCCACCTAGGCTTTTCTAATGAACAACTGCACAGGGACAATTTGGTTTTGCACACAATACTACCCTAGAGAGGTGAGATCATTTATATAAGAGACATCTGTGTCTCACAATGCCTTACCTCTCCTTTGGATAGCCCCAGGACCACAAACCAAGAATCTCTTTTCCTTTCTTCTTTACTACTTCATCTCAAAAGTATACCAGTTTTAGCTGGGTGCAGTAGCACCCACCTGTAATCCCAGTGACTGGGGAGGCAGAAACAAGAGGATCACAAGTTCAAGGTCAGCTTGGACAACTTGGCAAGATCCTGTTTCAAAAACAGAAATATATTAAAAAAAAAAAAAAAAAACCCAAAACAGAAAATTTAAAGTGTATGTGTGCATGTGTGAGAATTTTTTGCAGTTTTTCATTCTGTTGTGAAAGGTTTATTCTTGTTTTATTCAAAAGTTATGGTGTTTTTATCTCCCCATTTTTCAAGTGAGATGGTCATTTCCGGAAGATTTTCTATGTTTATCCTAAAGGACTTACATGCCCAGACACCAGCTTGAGTTACATACAGACATGAGGTAGTGAGAGTGAGACCTGTAGTGCACAGCTGTGGGTACATGTGGCTGGTTACGGATGGGCTCAGGACCCAGACAGTCCTGAGCCCTGGTTCTGCTTCACCTGCACATGAACAGTTTATGCATCTTCTTAGCCTTTCAGAGTCCTCATCTGTAAAATGAGAATAATGTCATATGCTCAGGTTTAGGAAGTAAAGTCATGGTCATTGACCCTTTGGCCATCTCTGGCCTACTGTGGACCTCCTTTCCTGGGTATCCTCAGAAAACTTGTTAAAGAAAGGTAGCCAGCTTTAAATGCTGCCAGAATTGTAAACTAGTGACTCCTGCTGTGGATGGCGTGGCTCTATTCCTTGGATTATTAACCAGCAAGCAGCGTCTTGTTGACCAGGCTAAAGTGGAGGCTGGCTTCTGGCCCCTTGGGGGCTATTCCAGCACCCGTTGCTCATCTTGCAGGGGTCTGCAATGTCGACCACCAGAACAAAGCTGGCTATACTGCCGTGATGATCACTCCCTTGGCATCTGCGGAGACCGATGAAGACATGGCTGTTGTTTGGAAGCTCTTAAGAGAAGGAAATGTGAACATCCAAGCAACTCAGGTAGGTGGCGTGAAGGAGATCTCTCTCCTGTTTAATAGATGTGGGAAACCTTCAAGTTTTAGTCTGCCAGTGAGGCACGAAATTCCATACAGATTCATGGAGAATTTTTCACCCAAGAAGGCTGGGCCTCCAAAGCCTGAATATTTGCTTTTCTTTTTTTCTTTTTAATTTTTATTTGTTCTTTGTAGATAGACATGATAGTAGAGTGTATTTTCACATATTATATATACACGGAGTATAGCTTATTCTAATTAGGATCCCATACTTGAGATTGTACGTGATATGGGTCACATTTGTCCTGTATTCATATATAAGTATAGGAAAGTGATGTCTGATTCATTCTTCTGTCTTTCCTATTCCCATTCCCCTCCCTTCCCTTTATTCTACTTTGTCTAATCCACTGAACTTCCATTCTCCCTTCCACCTTGTTGTAAGTTAGCATCCACATATCAAAGAAACATCTGACCTTTGGTTCTCTGAAATTGGCTTATTCCACTTAACATGATAGTGTCCAGATTCATCCATTTACTGGCAAAGTCATAAAGTCATCTTTTTTTAATAATTTTTATTGTTGGTTGTTCAAAACATTACATAGTTCTTGATATATCATATTTCACATTTTTATTCAAGTGGGTTTTGAACTCCCATTTTTACCCTGTATACAGATTGTAGAATCACATCGGTTACACATCCACTGATTTACATATTGCCATACTAGTGTCTGTTGTATTCTGCTGCCTTTCCTATCCTCTACTATCCCCCCTCCCCTCCCCTCTTCTCTCTCTACCCCATCTACTGTCATTCATTTCTCCCCCTTGTTTTTTTTTCCCTTTCCCCTCACTTCCTCTTGTATGTAATTTTGTATAACCCTGAGGGTCTCCTTCCATTTCCATGCAATTTCCCTTCTCTCTCCCTTTCCCTCCC